ACTAAATCAAATAAAGCAAAAAAACTCAATCATAAACTCTAAATCGAAACCCTAACAAAGCGTTTGGTTGGAGAGGGGGAATTGCGTGGGAAAGTAATTGCAATTCCATGGGAGATAAATTACTGGGAATAAAGTGGGAATTTAAATTCCAGTGTTTGATTTGCAGGAATAGAATTACTGGGAATTTCAATTCCAATGTTTGGTATACATGGGAATAAGTAGTATAAAGTCCAAAATGTCCATTGTTATTGACAGGCATTAATTTTAGGTTAAAAAAGGAAGGGGTAATTTTGACTTATCACTGTCTTTTTTTCTTCCTAAAATCCCACGAATTAAAATCCAGGGGGAGGGGGAGGGGTAGGGGGGGGGGCATGTGATTTTAATTCCATGAAAATTGGGGAATTGTAATTCCATGAAATTGCAATTCCTTTCAACCAAACAAGGGAATTTTGTGGCCGTTGAAATTATGTGGGAATTAAATGGGAAGGGAATTTAAATTCCCTTCAACCAAACGTCATGTAAGTGTAATGCACTTTCATATTTTTACAAGTGCAATATTTTAATACGTACTAAATATGCAAAATGGTAATATTAAATGTGCAAAACGTTAATACTAAATGTGCAAATTTGAAAAAGTATGAAAATTGCAGATTTTAGCGTTCAAGTTTGTATAGTAAAGTTGGTGATAATTACGAAAATGTCACTGCTTTATTTTTTAAAAAATTGATCTGATCCATCCAATTTTTTCAAATATAGGGTTGAGATTGATTCTTATTTATCTCATAAGAACTTGTTCTCATTTGATCCAATATATATATATATATATATATATATATATATATATATATATATATATATATATATATATAATAAGGCTCATATGCGGCAGTGGCTTTAGGTGCGGCGGTGCGGTCATATCAGCGTCGTCCATTCTGCTTAATCTAACGACAGCGACTAATTTCTGAAGATTTAAAGATTTAAGCGCGTCCTGGTAAGTGGGGGGTGTTATGGTAATTGTAGTGGTTATTTATATCGGTCGCTTGTCAGTATACACCAACAGTGTTAACATAAGACACTAATAGTGTTAGGAAAAAGCACCACAATGAAATGCACAAATACACCAAAAAAACACACAACACACCCAAAAAATACACCATATAACTCACCACCCCAATGGTGTATTCTGAACACTGTGTGATGCTTTTAGTCATACCTAGTGGTGCGTTCTGGTGATGCGTATCTAATTTGTGCATGTTTTTTTGGTGTGCATTTTCTAACATGGATGGTGTATATTTGTATAACTATTAGTACGGTCGCATTGACCGCTCGAGAAGGCACCAACACGAATTCTCAAATACACCACAGTAAGGTTAATAATGCACCAATAATGAACATAAAACACAACACTATGATTTGATATATTCTGGTGTCCAATGACGACTTTAACCTTGCAGTTCGCGTACTGTGAGAACGCGCGCGAAAATATCGGAAAAGCCTGGATGAATGTGATTCGTTAGATTTATCTAATCTAATGGCTTACAATTAACCGCACCGCCGCACCTAAGTGCACAGCCGCACTTGAACCTTCCTCTCTCTCTCTCTCTCTCTCTATATATATATATATATATATATATATATAGGAATATGGGTCAAATAGGCCACCGAACTGCACACCAAAGTGCAATTAGGCCATCCAACTAAAAAACAATGCAATTGATTACTGCCAACGACCAGGTAGTGTAATATCATCCTAATTATCATTTCAAATTAGTGAGCATAGGTTCAAACTTCAGTGGTGAGAACTTAGATTCTGATTCTTTAACCTGAAAATATTTGAGAAAGTATAGAACATATATTACTATACTAACATATGCCCAAAATTTATTGGTTCTTTGTGTTTCAGTAGGTTGAGAAAGTATATGAACAGATACTACAATGTAATAGAACTAGTAACTTTCAAAAAAAAAAAAAAAATACTAACATATGCCCAAAATTTATATTTTAAGAAATAACTTACAAATTTTTACTAATTAAAATCTAAATGAAATAAAATTTATTTATTATATATTAATCTAATATATAATATCTACAAATATTGTTATCATTAAATAATATAAGAAAATATATGGTAGATGCATGTGCATGGTAAAAGTAACGGAAGAAATAACGGAATTTATAACGGTAAGAATATTTTTGTCTAAAAATTGTATAGTACAACTCTAAAAGTATAATATACAAAATGATTAGCACTAAAAATATAGACATAAAGTATGGATATAACTTTGATTGAGACTTATTATGTTTTTAGATTAGATTAGATATTTCAAAAAAAAAAAAAAATTGATTACTAATTATTTACGGTAATAAATTGAATAATTTCTACAAATTCCACCACTTCTCTATATATATTAAAGCAAAATGAGATACTGTAAAAAGTTCTCGCCCAATCCAATACTAAGTTTAAGCCCACCAAAATAATCAATTACTAAGTTTAAGCCAACCAATCAAAATCAATTACTAAGTTTAAGCCAATTAAATCAATTATTAAGATTAAGCCAGCCAATCAAAATCAATTACTATGTGGTCTAATGGTACCCGGGTTGGATTTCCATTTGGAAGGTTGTAAGTTTGAGCCTCAGTGGAGGTGGAGGCGTTATTAGCTCTTTGTGTTTGAGTAGGTTGAGAAAGTATATGAACAGATACTACAATCTAATAGAGCTAGTAGCATTCAAAAAAAAATCAATTACTAAGATATCTAAATATATATATTTCACATCCTCTGCAATACAAACACTATCAGCGTAAGGAAGTTGTGATAGCGTATGAAACCTCTGCAATACAAACACTATCAAGGAAGTTGTGATAGCGTAAGGAAGTTGTGATAGCGTATGAAACCTCTGCAATACAAACACTATCAAGGAAGTTGTGATAGCGTATGAAACCTCTGCAATACAAACACTATCAAGGAAGTTGTGATAGCGTATGAAATCCAGATACGTAAACCTCTGCAATACAAACACTATCAAGGAAGTTGTGATAGCGTATGAAATCCAGATACGAGACCAAAAGCTCTATTCTATGAAAACTGAGAAACGAAAGGAATTGTGAACATCAGGATAGGATCTTTGTGTGTCTGAATTTTGAATTTTAAACAATTGAATGATGGTGATTTTGTTTGTTTTTTTTGTTTTTTTTGTTTTTTTTGTTTTTTTTTTGTTTTTTTTGTGTTGAACAATGAACAGATAGACATTTTTTGTATAAGGCATTTCAATGGGGGGGGGGGGGGACTGCAACTGAAGAATGGAGTGTGATTTTCAGCTATAATTGTGGGTAAGTCTTCTTCTTCTAATTCTGATGGAATAGTAAATGAATGTATATGGTAAACGAATGTATGATTTTCATCTATAATTGTGGGTAAGTCTTCTTCTTCTAATTCTAATTCTAATTCTTCTAATGAATGTATGATTTTAAGCTATGCAAGAACTACAGTCGCGTTAGAGAGAAGTCGGATTACAGCAGAGGTAAGGCAAAAGGTCGGATGATAAAGACTAGGGTTAGGAGAACAATTTGTATGTATGGGTTTATTGGGTTTCGGGTTATGGGCTGCAACAGTGAGTTGGTGTTGTGCCGCATTATTCTTAAAGCTTGGGCTCATAAAATGTTATATCAAATTTTTGTCCAGTTTCAATAATTTATATATTAAATTGAGTAGTAAGTAGTTTTTGTCAATGCTTAATTGTATGTTGTAGAACCAACGCCTTGCTCAATCTCGCGCACAATATCAAACAAAGTCTATATCAGGACAATCTTATAATGGGAACACACCAAGATAATATATATATATATATATATATATATATATATATATATATATATATATAGTTGAGTTCAAATGAGGACCACTATATTATAGAGGACTGTGCGGACTGGTGTAGTCGTGTGCCATTAGTTTGTATGTTGTGTGCCTGACCTAATGTAGTTGTGTACCACAATTTGCATGTCGTGTGCATATGTTTGTTAATTAATAGAGCCTGAGTTCGAAACCTAATGTATACATGTATTATTGTGTGCCATTGTATATTAAATTGTGTGCATGATACTAATTTGTTGTGTGTCCGTAATCAGTCCGCACAGTCCTTTATATATTGTGGTCCTCATGTGAACTCAACCATATATATAATTGAACCATACCTCAATTATAATTGGACTCCACCTATATAAAAAGGAGAACTTAAATATAAAATTAACATAGTTTTTATATAAATAAACTTTTTTAAATGAATAAGTTTTACATAATATATTTATACTTAAAATTTAATAAGACTAATAATTCTTAATATCAGATGTCCCCGAAGGGACCTAATAATCTTAATAGAGTAAATACCCAAAATGGTCCCTCGACTATAGCTAAATTCACAAATTGGTCATCGACTTTCAATTTCAACCAATTAAGTTCTTAACTTTGTAATTTTAACACAATTTGGTCCTCTGTCTATTTGACCGGTTGTTGACTGTGATTTTTGAGGATATATATGTAATTTCATGGTCCATCGTCGGTTTTTAAAGGTTTCGATTGTATTTCCAGACCGCACTGTTACATTCGAATCCACTGCCGAAAGCAATCTACCAAATCCGATTGCCTTTCTTCATCCTCCATTTGGATTCAATGTAGTTGAGTTCGTACCAGAGAGAAGAAGACGACGTGTTTCCGAACCGGTGCAACGTCATCCTGGAGGCCTCCACGTGCTCCAACGAGAGCTGAAGTTTCTTCTGGAGATCGTCAATCACGGTCAACAAACGGTCAAATAGATGGATGACCAAATTGTGTCAAAATTACAAAGTTAAAGACTTAATTAGTTGAAATTGAAAGTCGAGGATCAATTTGTGAATTTAGCTATAGTGACCATTTTGAGTATTTACTCTTCTTAATATCATAACATAACAACAATACTTATAATTTTTAGTCCGTGCATATTGTACTAATTAGTCATATAGAGCAGGATATACATATGATCCCTCCCTAGTCCCCAAGACGCGCGCTCTCTTCCTCGTCGCTCTCGTCATCTCGGCGCCACCACCAGTCCTCGTAGAATACTGATAGACCTACTGAGACTCACCATATCCTTCATACGGTACGCCAATTTTCTATGTCTACAATCTCTCTCTCTCTCTCTCTCTCTCTCTCTGCACGCACAGATATATAGATGGATAGATGTATACAGTTATGCATAATATTGTGTTTTGATACATATTTTTTAGACTGATACATTCGAGGAGCAGCTGAGCCATGGATTTGGATCAGCTCCAATCCACTATGCGAACTTTTGAGCTCGCTTGTACTTCAATTCAGGTAGAATTCACATTTCTTTGATCAGTGAGGAATTCCTATTCCATTGATTTGATTGTAAGTGAGAATCAACTAATGTAAATTATTAAGGTGGAAATGCTTTGTATTATATGATTGATTAATTTGTCAATCAGTATGCAAGAATGGTTGTGTCAATTTGAATTTGTGCTCTCTGGATGTTCATCGGTTGATTAGGGGCTCTGGTGGACTGATGTGTCATCTGAAGTAGTTGAGAGGGTATATTGTGATTCGGTGGCAATTATGAACTTTGGAGCTAGGAATTGATTTCTAAGAAAAGCTGCTTTAAGCTTTTGCTTTCTCCTTGAATCTATAATGTGCATTTGGTTCTCTATTTTGGTTTGTGTATAAGCAGTGGGCATTTATATTTATAGTAATAATTCCATCACATCAGTGATTGGTAAAAAAATGTCTTTTAATGAATTAGCTACTAAACATTAAATTCAAATTGACAGCAATTAATCTTAATTAATCTTTTCTTTCAAATTCTCAAAGGATAAAGTAGTGCTGTCTGCATAAGATAGTGGAATGTGGTCGGGCACCATGCTCTTCTCTAGAGACCTGATGGCTTTTCCCCCCTTATTATTACAGCGCATTATTTTTACTTTTTTTTTTGGTTGATATTTTCATGTACTGTTTAAATGTTGAAGCATGTCATTGTTGACGTTGTTTGCTTTTTAGTGTAGACTATTTGGCATGCATTGAATGTTAACTTGGATAATTTTCATCATCTCTTAGAAGGTGCATGGTGATCCAGCAGCTGAGGCAATCATTTCATCCCTTAGCCAGTCTCCTCGGCCATACCAGGCATGCCAATTCATTCTTGGTGAGATTTTGAAAAGCCTGTTTGTCTGTTATTTGCCATTTTGATGTACACACAGAGAGAGTTTACTGAAATGTTAAAAATATAATCTGCAAGTTTTGAAATCATTTACCAGAGTTATTAAATGGCTTTGACATCATATAACTACTAAAACTAAATAAATCAAGTGAGAAATAAAAGCAGTTGAAGTTGGAAAAAAATGTGAGGAAGAGGAAGATTGCTTGAATGCATCCTTTGAAGCTGACAACACTAACTGGATGGCCTGTAGCAACTGGAGTACACTTTGAAAAGTAGTCAAAGTCATAAGATGGTCGGATAAATTAATGATCGATTCTAGTTTATTTTCTTCTAGCTATTAGGCATCTATTGAGTTGTTGGTGAGATCATAAAATTTGATTTTTACTTGTTACACATTATTAACAAGCAAAAATTTGTCTGGATGATTCTAGTTTACCTTTTTGTTTTTATTTTTATTTATTTTTTATTTTTTTTATTTTTTATTTTTAGTGGGTGATTATAATTTACTCTTCAGGGTTAAAAGCAGGTTGGCATATCTCTCATACAATTTTTTTTTATGCACTTGCATTCTTGAAAACAAGTTTGTGCTTGTTTACAGAGTCCATATAATGAAGAAAACCAATAAGAGGTCCATGGTTAAGTCATAACTCATATTACATCTTAGAGAAGTGTGAATGGTATTTGTTGTGATGTTTGAACTGACAACACTTGACTTCTCCAGAGAATTCTCAGGTGGCAATGGCACGGTTCCAGGCTGCTGGAGCACTTAGAGATGCAGCAATACGAGAATGGGTATTTCTCGAGGCTGATGATAAAAGACAGTTGATAAGGTAATTTTGAGGCTTAAACTCACACAAAATGTTGCAGTGGTGGTAACTAGCTCCTTTCATAAGATAAAAATATAAATAAAGCTTTAAGAATCTCTTCCTCAGATTACACTTGATCATCAGTTTAAGAGGATTAATGCCAAATTGCCAAATTTTAAAGGTTTGGATATAATCGCAACAAAGTGCAAAGGTTTGATTTTTTTCACTAGTAAGCCTTATTTATAAGTTAGCTCTTTGATCCAGTGTTTTCTTTTCTTACTACCCTTTATTTTATTTGTCTCATTTTCTTGCTTGGGCCTTGCCAATGTAATTGTCTCACTTTCCTTAATGTACATAGTATTAACATTTATCATTCACAAATGTCTCTTAACTCATTCATTCAAAATTTCAAATCATATTGTACATAAGTATATAAAGCATGAAGTGGCCAAGCAAGAAGAACAGTCAGCAATAATTAAATATAAATAAGTAAATAAAGAATATAAAATTAAATAGATATTAATTCAAGAACCCAATAGTTGCATGAATAAGATTACTAATTAGAGATAATAGGTTAGCACATACCTATGTCAATAAATCTATTACTTTATCGAAGTATATAATAAACTAATTATGGCTGTTTTTTGGTGTATAGTTAACTATAATGAGTAATATATACATTTTGAGTATTGTATATTGCTTTTTATGTGTTTCAGTGTGTGTATATATAAAAAATATTCACATATTTCATCTATGCTATGCAACTTCTGAAATAATTTTTAATTGTTGTTGCACAGTTATATAGAAGTACAACTATAAAGTATAATCATAAAGGTCAGTAGTCAACAGTGTTATAAACATACAAACATAATGAACAAAATTGTATGCAATGAAAAGCAAAAGATTGACAAGACTAAAACGTGTCCACACATCTAGGCTGAAAGGTAACATTCCCATGACCAATCGGGGTTAAAACCCACAAAACAAGAATAAATCTTATAAACTTAATATTACATAATGTAAAGCTAGTCTATTGGCATTTATAGACGCAAACTCTTGAGTTCTAATCTAATAGGTAAATGAAATTCCAATGTAATAAGCAAATGTAATACTAGGAAATAATAAATAAACCCTAGGTGGGTAGGAACTAGGAAGTAATAGAGTTCTAAGCTAACTAAAAGGAAATTAACTAATAATGTCCTAAATAAAAAGGGAAGCAAGTTAATCATGAAGTGAATAATTTTCCATGACCTCCAGAGAGTTCCTTGTCAACTAATGAAAAACTAAAGGGAAAAAAAACCCCATTATTGTAAGCTACTGCTCGTTCTTGAAATCATCATGATTTTGTTTTCTGTGTTTTTCAAATTGTCAAAAAACTTGCTCTTTTATTTTTAATTAGGGTATATATTATTGTTATTGTAAAAACAAATTTTTTAAAAAGCTACAGAGTATTAAATAATCTAAAGAAATATACAGGATAACAAACAATCAGCCGTGCAATGCACAGGCCAACATACTAGTTTAATTATCTACATGCTCTTTTGTCTCTTAGAATTATGTGAAGGGACTAAGTGCATCTAACAACCTTTCTAAACAGTCTGGCATGGTTAAAATGTGACAACTAGAATGACAAGTCTGGAGCATTTTATTATCCCAAAACTTTTATTAGTCTTTACGTTCTCTTCTGGTGTTCAGCTAATTGTTTGTCCTTTTGCTGCAGTTTTTGTCTTTGCTTTGTTTTAAAACATGCCGGCTCAGCTGAAGGCTATGTCCAAGCAAAAGTTGCTTCAGTGGCTGCTCAATTGATGAAAAGAGGATGGTAAGTTGCTCTCTATTTTAGAGTTGCATCACCCTCTGGCCACATGACATATGTTCAAAGCTGATTCAATAGTTCATAAAGTTGGCATTACTATGTCCTTTTTTCAGGCTGGAATTTGTAGCTGCTGATAAGGAGGCATTTTTCCTTGAGGTATGAAATTATTTCCTCAAATTTTATTTCTTTATTTCATATTTCAGCTTTAACAGTGTCAAATCTGTGAATCTGCAATGCCCCCTTCCCTGGATGTGCTCACAAAATGTGAGCATGGCTAAGTAAAGACTGCTTTGTAGTGTATCCTTTATCTACACCTCTTGGTTTTCAATAGATAGATGGCCACACATGTGATGAAAAGTATTCTTGGATTTCCATGGCCACCTCATTTGTTCAGGGCAAATCAAATTACTAAAACCATATTTTGTTTGATGAGTAGGCATAACTTTACAATTAATTTGAACTTTGCGATTTTTTGCTGAGAAATTGGCATTGTAAGACTTTTCTGACAATTAAGCTGATTTCATGTTGACTCCACATTTCTTCAAATTCAGGTGAGACAGGCAATCATTGGCAGCCATGGTCTTGATGCGCAGTTCGCTGGAATTAATTTTTTGGAATCTCTGGTATTTGTTTTTATTTTGTAGAAACCCTCTTTTACCTAGCTAATGGTTTGGTAAAAAAAAAAACCATCTTTCACCTAGATTTTGGTCTATGGCTGGTTCTTTTATTATACGTCTTTAGCTGGAAGTGATTGTTTTCCAGGTTTCTGAATTTTCACTCTCTACTTCAACTGCTATGGGTCTTCCAAGAGAGTATCATGAACAGTGCAAGAAATCATTGGAGCTGGAATATATGATGGTAAGCTAATTGGCTTTGTCATTATTTTTTCTAGCTTACATTGCTTCACAACCCGTTTCTAGTCCCTCTAGTAGTTTGTCGGAAAAGTATTTTTTTCACTTGCTTAACTTTCAAATTTTTTTATTTTTCTAGCTTACATTGCTTCAGAACCCGTTTCTAGTCCCTCTAATAGTTTGTCGGAAAAGTATTTTTTTCACTTGCTTAACTTTCAAAATTTATTTAATTATTTTTACTTTGTTTTTTCAATTTACAGACATTCTACTGCTGGGCACAAGATGCTGCTATAGCTGTCTCAGGAGGAATAGTTGAATCTCATTCTGCTGTTCCGGGAGTTAAAGTTTGCACAGCAGCTCTCCGTTTCATTCATCAAATTTTGAATTGGGATTTCCAAAACAATTCCATGATGCCTAATGGTGCAAAGCAAGTCATGGATCTTCCTTCTGCAGCTAAGCATGACATAGATACACCTAGAATGACAGAGTGTAATTTGGTGCAAGTAAGAAACTGTATTTTTCTTCCTGCTGTAAGTCACATGCTGTTAAGGTAGTGTTTATCCACTCGCAGAAAACAACTAATGAAACCCCCTATTGGAAATAAGGAAGCTTGCTAGCATACATACAGAAGAACCCTGCACAAATATGCAAAGGAAAGAATGAAAGTTTTACTGGCCTTTTGTGATTGCTTCCTCATGCATTCTTTTTACTGTTCCCCTACCTCTTCTCCCCATCCTCAGTGGGTGCTCCTATCTTTTGAATACCTTTTTTACCATTTCAAATTATAAATGAATGTGAAATAATAGCAGCTAAGTTGCCTAATGTCCCAATTTTCATGTTTTCTGTGTATTCTCATTGTATTTGTAGCTCCTTGTTCTAGTTATTGACCATTGTAATTTTGTTTCTAGCCTGGACCCTCCTGGAGGGCTGTGCTGATATCAAGTGGTCATGTTGGCTGGCTTTTAGGCCTGTATGGTTCTCTTAGGCAGAAGTTTTCTTGTGAAGGTTACTGGCTTGATTGCCCTCTTGCTGTCAGTGCTCGTAAACTTATAGTGCAGTTCTGCTCCTTGTCAGGATCCATATTTCCATCTGGTACTGTTTCTTTAATTTTATTTTCTTCTCACTGTTAGATTATTAGTTACTTTATTAATTTCTAAATGAATAAAAAAAGGTTCTGAAATGGTGTTTTAAAAGTGATTTTTAATTTTTTATTATTTAACATGAAAAATTTTCACTTGAAGAGTTATGCTTCAGATTCTTAAATTCATATTTATACTTGTAAAAAAAATCCATTAAGTCTTTGCTTCTTGAATATTCTTATAAGATAGAGATATAATGATATGTATCATTTAAGATACCTGTTTGAAATTGTGAGGGCAGTCCAGCAGGTGGCAATGAGCCACCACTAAGAAACTAAACCAAGATATAATGGAGCGAAATGTTATACTAAACCATGTATTCCAATTGAATTGAATGTGTAGTTTCGGTAAGCACCTATGGGGTTCACTACATATGTGTATATATTGTGAATAAAATGTTTCTTATAAAATAAAAACTGGTAATCCTACAATCTTGACAAGTATTAACTACAAGGATTGAAGTAATAAATCAACTACCTCAACATAGGCATACTCTGAACTGTTCTGACAATACCAAGACTACTGCTTTTTGCCCCACTATCTACACTACTTAGTGTATACTAGGAAAACTAAATTGTTTGAAATAATATTACTCCAAGTTTTACTGTGAGTTTCAGTTACCTCCTTAAGGGAGTCTTTACTTTTCCAAATTTGTAACTCTTTAGCCCTTTCGAAGTGAATGTTCATACACCTTTTCCTTTAGTAGTGCAACTTTAAGAGAGGATGGGGAATTCCATAGGTAAATTTATATTATCTGAGATGAAGTCGATGCAATACAAAGTGAAAAGCTAGGTTGAAGTTAAAGAGTGTGTCTAATAGAACTATTGCATTTCTTGGAAAGATCGAAGAGTGAAGCTGAAAAAGTAGTACTGAATGCAAAAGTTGTTCACACATGCTCATGTGTACCGAGCCTGCCAACTGGATTGTCTGTACCCATACAATTGAATTTGGACTCAAAACTATGTTCCGAAATGATTACACTATACTGCAAATGGATCTTCAGCCATACTTAATTATTGGTGCCAATTACAATAGCCATCCAGTGCATGAGATTCATTTGGCATGGAGTATAGTAGTATACAGTTGGCCTAGAAATCGGACTAACAGAGATATAAAATTGAAATGAAAATTGTTTGGTCAACAATGATGGAAAGACATGAAATATTATTTATGTGTGAAACCAACTTACAGAAAAGGGTTCTCCTTCCTTTTATCTATGGGTGCACTACTGAGAAGTCAGGGTAATTCAGTAATTGATACGACTTTTTGCCTTTTCAAGTGCTTTGGGCTAAGAAAATGCATGATCACCTTTGCAGTTGTTAATATGTTCTTGGTATTTGGTGCAATTATGTCCTGCACTTTATCATAGAAATTTTGTTGTCTTGCTTTATATCTTCCATATTTTGTCACTAGAAGCTGGTTGAGCGATGTACCTTATTTAGATATCATTTGCTAAGCTCTTTCATTTTGTGAATAGTTTTTTCTTCTTATTGATCCATTATCTAGTTTAGCAAATTAATGTAAAGATTCTCTTGTTAACCAGGATCGCTGGCTTACTTGCTTCTTCATCCTTAAACTTTTTTCCTTTTGCTTTTTGCTATGATTTGTGGTCAGTCGAGTCCTAATTTAAAGGTACTCATGTATTTGATTGTAGATGATGGACAAACCCAAAGACAGCACCTTCTTCAACTGCTCTGTGGAATTATTCAATGGGTTGACCCTCCTGGTGTTGTTTCAAAAGAGATTAAAGAAGGGAAAAGTGAAAGGTTGTTTTATCCTCATCCAATAAACTTTATTCTTATTATGGTACATGGTGCTTTACCCATTTTCTTGGTTGCATGCAGTGAACTGCTTGATGGCTGCCGGGCACTTTTATCCATAGCAACTGTTACCTCCCCGATAGTATTTGACCAACTGTTGAAATCTATAAGGTCAGTTAAATGTGAGTGGAATAGCCATAGTCGTACTTGGGTAACATATTCTGTTTAATGCACTTCTCATTTATTTTGTGTTTTGCCATGTCCAGGCCTTACGGCACTCTCAGTCTATTGTCTGCCCTAATGTGTGAAGCCATCAAGGATCTAATGGAAAATTTCACAGAAGAGGAGACGTGGAGCTGGGTGGCACGTGATATCTTACTAGATTCCTGGACTACACTTCTCATGGTATTTGTTTTGAAGTTGTTGAAGTTCTATTTTTAATTACTACTTGTTCTGATGCATAGATATCTATTAGGAGTTATGTTATAGGCCAGGATATCTAGGATCGCGTCACAGGCTTAGAAACTTAGGAATAAAAATGAAGCTTTTCTGGAGTGCTTCTTCTCCCCAAATGAAGCGTTTTTGTGGAGTGCTTCTTCTCCCCCAAATGAAGCGTTTTTGTGGAGTGCTTCTTCTCCCCCAATCTTCCATTCAATAGGAAGCCCAAAATACAAATTTCCCAGATGTCCCCCTTCTTGAAATACCTAGGCATCTATTTATAGAAGATAAAAACTACCCACTACCTCTAACTACTTAGGAAGTGGTCATCCCACTACTACTATTACAATAGTGGTCATCCCACCACTACTACTACTACAATAATAATAATAATAATAATTGCAGAACAGTTGTATCATTTCCCCGCCCATCAAAATCACCTTGTCCTCAAGGTGATGGTACATAGTGCTAACGCTGGCTGGAAACGACGCAGCAGCTGGAGTTCGCACGGCGGAGACTGATGCGGACTGCCCCCGGCTTTGACGGCGCTGGAGCTGTCTCGGTGTTCGTCAGTGGTGCTGCGTGGCTGCTGGAGGTGAAAACTGGCTCCTTTCCGGCCAGACCGCGAATCGCAGTAACAGAGTCGGCCAACGTTGTGTCGCCCATGACGACTGGCTCTGATACCAAATTTGTTGTGGGCCCGGGGATATGTGAACGCGTCACTGGGCGGTGGACGGGGCTTGGGGGAACAGACGACTTGGATGACCTTGATTTCCCTATGATTGCAGTAGCAGTTAAGGAAATAAGGATAAATAGAAAAAAACTGAAGAGTTTTGGAGTTCTTCCTCTCCCAAATTGCATTAGACAATTTCTGATTTCTTAGACAAAAACAATGGTGATTTGAACTCAAAAAAGCTACCCAATAAATACCTAAGGAACTTAACGTTCACTTCCACCTAATTAGGACTTTCAAAAAACAACTTAACAACCTTAACAAACTAAAGGAAATCAAAAGGGAAAAACATAATATAAATAGCCGTTAAATGTTTAGCTTTCAATTGCCTGTGCTTGTTTCCTGCGTCTGTGGTACGTTCTTCCGATGAATGCATCAAGTTATAGCAAACATATCATAGTACTGCTTCTTGTCTTGTTTGCATTTATATGGAAATAATGTGTCTAGTTATGGTGGAGGCAGTTGGAATTGGGTTTTGGTTTGTGTTTTTGTTTCTTTCATGTAATGTGGACAAAATAAAACCTTTTGGTTTGCTTACAACACATCTTGTTGAGTTTCTCTTATGTACCTTTTTAAATTTTTATATATATATATTTTTATATACATTTTCAGCCATTGCATAGTACAAATTGCAAGGAGTTGCTCCCACCAGAAGGGATTAGTGCTGCAGCCAATCTTTTTACGCTGATAGTAGAATCTGAATTACAGGGTAATCCTTAATGTTTTCATAGGTGATGTGCTTTAAGTTACTATTGGAATGTATGTTTTATCCTTGAATCTGTTTGTAACATTATTTTTTGCTGTAGCTGCTTCTGCGTCAGCCTTCAGTGATGATAATGAATCTAGTTACTTTCAGGCCTCTATTGCTGGTACTTATCATTGCTAGATAAACTACTTTATTAAGCTTCTTTTGTGCTTTAACATTAACATTCTTTAATCTGATGCCAGTTTCCACTTTTAGGTTATCATATACTCATATTCGTACTCTTAGCTTGGTAATCTAGGTTCGTATTGTGTCTAATTTCTGTCACTTTGTAGCCATGGACGAACGATTAAGCACTTATGCCCTTATTGCTCGTGCTGCTATTGATATTACCGTTCCTTTTCTGACTAGACTGTTCTCTGAGCGTTTTGCAAGGCTTCATCAGGTACACAATTGCTTTGAAATTTCAAGTGGTATTTTAATAACCATAACTAGTGCAAGTATTGGGACAATATTTCCAGTTATACAGATAAAATAGTATGCGGATGAAATAGATTGTTAATTTGACTTGTTTATTACATATTCTATTCATTTTATGTAGGGAAGAGGCACTCATGATCCAACTCAAACTCTGGAAGAGCTTTACTCACTATTATTGATAACTGGGCATGTTTTAGCTGATGAAGGGGAGGGTGAGACACCCTTGGTAATTAAATGATCTCTTTCACACTTTGACTTGTATAGGTTGTGCTAAATACTCAAATTAAAAAAAAAAATCATATATTCAGATAGAATTCTTGGCAGCATTTGTTTGACTTCTTAATGTATAAGATTTCCTTTGATACCTGTAGCTTGGCTCATTTTTGTTTACATTTTTCATCACCCTTTCTGTGACTTTTAGGAACCTGTCTCTATTGTAATTAATAGCTTGAACTAGCAATCTAATACTAAAGGACTTATTTTTATTCTTAAGATGTGTTTACCTTGCTAAATTTTATAGTCCTTTTAGTGCATGACTTACTGGTTATTGACATTTACCAGTTAATATCTGGACTCTTATGCTTTAGAGTTCTGGTGCAGCCTGCATTTACTAATGCCAGACAATAATCAATATGTTTCTTCAAGCTCTCCATGCTACACTTAACTCCTTTATTATACTGCTACTATTTTTAGTTTGTACTAGTCTAGTTTCTGGATTATATTAATGGGTGACATTTTTGTAATATATCAGGTGCCAAAAACTATACAAACCCAGTTTAGCCACATTATGGAAACTGAAAAGCATCCAGTTGTCATACTCTCTGGGTAAGCATCTTGTTTTCTTCCTATTTGCATGGCTACTTGAAAAATATTGCATTTACATCCATGTTGAATTGTTCATGGCATGAAGTCTCTATCATTTTGCAAAAATAGAAATATACAATGCATACTCTTGCTATCAATTCTTTATCCGAAAAGTATTATGGAGTATTTATTAAGTTCTTGCTGTATCTGTTTCAGTTTGAGAGATGAACCCTTTTTTTCTTATTTTATATTTTATTTTGTGGGGGTGGGGTTAAGGTCCCTTGGCATGATAACAAAGTAAATTCTGCATAGTTATTGGGTTTAGAACACTACTTGAAGTTTAGACAGACAACTCCGTGACTGTTGGAAAATGACATCAACCTCTGTACACTGCCACAATTTTCCTCACTTTTTTTTACCCCATTTTCCTGTGAAAATTTTATGGTTGTGTACATTATTAGTTTAGGCGGCATTGATGAATTAATAAATAATAACCCTTGTATAGATTGTAGGAAGTCAAATTATGCACATGTACATACATTCATAATTTTGGCTAGAAAGGCTGGTATACTCTTCATTATTTAAGGACAACGTTGGTCCATCATTTAAAATGTTGAATATGTTTATTTGGCTGTCATTTAACCAATTTGATCTTTAGATTGATTTTAAAGTTCTATAATCCACTTTTTCTTTCTCAATATCCCTGCATCCTTTTTTCTTTTTTTTTTTTTTTTCCTTTGGCAGATCTATAATAAAATTTGCTGAGCAGAGTTTAGATCCAGAGTTGAGAGCATCGTTTTTTAGCCCTAGACTTATGGAGGTAGTGAGCCAAATTTTTTCTGATTTAAGATCTTATTGAATTGACTTTTGATACTCTAGTGGGATTTAACCTTTCGCTTTTCCACACTCATTCTTTGAACATGCTTCTTCAATCTCCCATTACATTTCAGTTATTCCATTTATGTAGTCCCAAATTGGTTGTCATTTTGCTTGCAGTCAAGTGAATATTTATTTTGTGATTAATTTTCAATTCAAGTAATTCCATTCCACAGGCTTAAGGACAGGAAATCAAGTTTAACCTCTTGTTTCCTGCTAACTCACTTCTTAATGCACATAATTTGCAATGCAGTTGTTGAAATGTCTACTAAATAGTGTTTTTAATTTGCTACAGTAACAATTGTTTTAAGAATAATATAGTTATGGCAACTTTTTGCTATTTTGTGATGTTGGTGTTTGGATCCAACTGGGTTATTTATTTGGAGGGATTTGGTTGATACTTGATAGGGTTTGTTGATTGAGAGAGATGAGGGGATCTGGGGAATGGGGATAGGATAAGTGGGCACCAATGTTGTGTGGAAACCTAATAGGGTATGGACTATAAGGTAAGCCACCAAACTTTGTTACTATGAGGGGTTAAGAGTGAAGAAAGTGCCAAGCATTTATAAGGGGCTAGGCTATACAAGCCAATCTGATGGCTAGGCTATAGACCTAGCTACTTTTAGTTGGGCTCTTTATTAGGATCTAGCTTCAGACTTGTGCTTGAGTGGTTCTTGACTTGAGTTCTCCCATTTTGAGGTCAATGGTGGGTATATATACAAACAGTAGAACCTTCCATGTCCACTTTGGTAGTTGCAGGCACCATGTGGTTCATATTTTCCATGTGCTTGCCATGTCTTTCCTCTAAGGTGTCTTGAGTGGTTCCAAGCCTACATTGTAGCTGAGGTCCCGAGCATGGGCTTGATGAAGTCTCCCCTCGTTACCTCAGCATTACCTGGCGCATGCTCTCCTAGAGAAGCTGAGCTCCTTGTGTGGCGCCGAGTCTGCCCCTTGGCATTGGTCTTCCTGGTTGCTGTCTGAAGTGGATTGCTCTTAAGTTTCCTTTTGGGCCTAGCTTGTGCTTGATATGCCATTGGGACTCTTTTTACAGGGGTGCAACATGTTCAATGATGAAATAAGTGCTTACTCAAAAAAGTGTGAAAATAGTGCAAATGAAGTGTGAATAATAGTGTCTGTAGTCCTAATTCATGATGGCTAACACAATGTACAATGAACACACTGGCAGCAAAAATATTCTCTGCATGTCTTTTGCATCCTATGCCACTCTATTGGTGATGGGACAATTTTTTTTTTAGCAAGCTTTTTAGAAGGTCCATTTTTAAATCCTTATGGGATGATTCATTTTTCTTCTTTGCTTTCATTGGTTTTATTAGCTTTTTTTTTTTTTTTTTTTTTTTTTTTTTTTTTGTTTTTGTTTTTAAATGCTTGTTTATTCTTTTTTTCATGAGTAACTTATATGAGCTGTGCACTACAGGCAGTTATATGGTTCCTCAGAAGATGGTCTTCAACTTATTTGATGCCACCTGAGGAATATAAAGAAAGTAAAAGTTCAGATAGTTTTACTGAAGGCCAGTTTAAGGAAGAACACTCTAGGAAAGCATTGCTTAATTTTTGTGGAGAGCACGGTCAGGGCAAGGTTGTGCTTGATATTATTGTTCGCATCTCGATCACCTCACTTGTTTCATATCCTGGTGAAAAAGATTTACAGGTATAAAGTCTGCAAGTACTGTTTACTTTGTTGAGTCTCATCCAAATTAGAAGATAAATGGAGAGAACCATTTTATGTGAAGAAGTGGACAGTCTTTTTTATTTATTTAAGTTTTTACCTATATAAAATAACTGCTCTAAATTTATGACATACCCTATCTTTTAAGTTGTATACTTTTCTTTTTTGATATATTTGTCCCAGTATTTTTTCAGTGGCAGTTTCACAAATGTGCTAAAACCTACATAGGGCATATATTATTTTTCAAAACTTGTGGCTCAGTATCAAAAGAATGTAGCTCTGCCCTGGTATATGTAGTGCAAGATAAATAAAGAGAACCTGTCCAAGCAGCTTTCACAACTTTGTATATTTTTATACTCTCTTGGACACACTGACCTTTCATGTTTCAAACAACTTTTGAGTAACGTATTACTGCAGAGTGTTTCCTTAGTTTGCCAACTTTTTAAGCAACATGACCACACATAGGAATTTCTCCTAGTATTGCTATACTTACAGTTTTAATTTTGTTATTGCTCTCTGTTTTGAATTTTCTTTTTGCTTTGACAGGCACTCACTTGCTTTGAATTGCTCCATGGACTTGTTCGACGTAGGAGTGTTTGTACACACCTTATGGCATTGGTCAGTTCTCTGTCTTCTGTTACAATGTCTTTAGTTAACTCTGATTAACGCTCCTCCTCCCCTCTCTTTTCTGAGTGTCTGTGCAGCTTGTTAGCTTGGGCAATTGTCTGTCTATTTGTGCAATGTTTTAAGTGAACCTTCAATAATGCACTTCATTCCCCTTTCCTTTCCAAGTGTTTGTTCGGGTTTTTAGTGATTCAGTCGCATGGTTTAGACAGTTTACAATGGAAGTAAATCTTGAAATAGTATCTATAATAATTTATGTTGAATTCGCTCTGTTCATAATTCTTACTCTAAATTGATTTTTTTTTTTTTTTTTTTTTTTTTTTAAAGAAAAAGAAAAAGATATAAAGTGATAAAAGACTGAAATTTGATTTGACACTATCCAATTTGTTATCTTGCAGGACTCTTGGCGTGAGTTGGCAAATGCATTTGCTAATGAAAGAACTCTTTTCTCACTATATGCTTCTTATCAGGTAAATAACCTCAAGGTTTTGTTTTAGTTGGTTAAGGGAGTAATGATTAGGGTAGAGGTGCATTCTGAGTCTTCTTCCAATTTTTTAAGAAGAAACAACATCATGAGTTACTTTGTTTTAGTGTACCATTTTGAAGGGCTGAAGAGACTCCCCTCTCTCACCATGCCCACCGGGTCTGTCTATCCTTCCTTTCTTGTCTCCTATTTTGCACGGGGGTTATATTTCTCCAAATTACTAGCCTTGCACTGAACAATGTTTTCTCCCAGTGGAAACTACAATGCTATTTTGTTTTAATGACAGCGTTCACTTGCTCAGACACTTGTTCTTTCAGCTACTGGTATGAGAGATTCAGAGATGTCATATCAGTGAGTAGATATTCTCGATTATGCTTATATATCTTTTTGCTTATGTTTAGTTTGCAACTTTTAACATTGATTTGCATTGTAACTGTCCATAGGTATGTGAAATACTTAACAAGCCACATGACGGCTTACCTTGTGGAACTGTCAGGCAGGAATGATTTAAAAAAAGTTGCTGAACAGCCAGACATCATCTTACTGGTTGGTAGCAACAGCTTGCAATACAGAATTGTTTTTCAATATCCTTCATAAAGTTCTTATTGGTTTTAATAAAAACCTATAGGTCAGCTGTTTGCTGGAGCGGCTTCGTGGAGTTGCCATTGCCACAGAACCTCGAACACAAAAGGCAATTTATGAGATAGGATTCTCAGTAATGAATCCTGTACTAACACTTCTAGAAGTTTACAAAAATGAGGTATTGATTGAGTATGAATTTCTGATCAATTAATTTTGTGTCAAATGCTTTACATGTTCATTTTATTTGTAAAAGTAGATTCTAAGTCAATTGTCTGGTTCTTTAGGTGATGAGTTCATTTATTAACATAGTAATTGGGTTTGCTGTAGTGATAAAATACAACAGTTTTTACCTTTAGATAATGTTTTTGAGACCCCAAAAAAGTTAGTTTGTATACAGTTTCCTTCCTCCTGATCAGTATAGGCATTTCGCACTAGTTCTGAACCCAAGGAACTGTTTATCACCCAGTCCTTGGTACACTTAAATTTCCCTAAAAATTGTTCTTCAAAGATTTATGTTCATTAAATCTGATGAGAAGCCATTAAATCTGCTATCCCTATTGTTCATAAGTTTACTTGAATTCAACTTTTCAGTGAGGATTAATTTAGAATAATTGATTTCTACAGTACTAAAAATTTGCCCGTAATGGATTTATGTTTTGCTTTCTGTTAGAGAAATAGGGTGTTAGTTGAGAGGATCTCTCTTAGCCTTAGTTTTAGGTGTTTGAAATCTATGGCTAGGATTAGTTCTTGTCTAATATAAATAGCTCTATACTTCCTTATACATTGACACACAGAACATATAGAAATATACACTTGAGTTTATTGTTTAACATGGTATCAGAGCGAGATTGAGGTGACCGGGTAGTGGGTGTTGGTCAGAAAGAGGAGGCGACGCCGGCGGGAGAGGCGGAGCAGCCACCGGAGTCCTCACGCGCCGCCACGCGCCGGTGCAGTCTTAGGGTTCCGACGCCACGCGCCGGCGCGTGGGCAATTCTCCGGCGTCTTCTCCGGTCGCGGCCGGTACCGTTGGGCTCGTCTCTGAACACCCAACGCGTCTGCAGTGGTGGTTTACTCCGGTGTTGCAAAGGGCTACTGCGTTTTGGACTGCTACGTTTGGACCTGCTGCATTTTTGGAGTGCTGCGTTTTCAGGTTGGTCTGTTTTGTTTATTATGGCTGAGGAGAGTGAGCAGAGGATGGAGGGCTGCGTCGAGTGGTTCAGTGAGGGGTTTGGGTTCATAACCCCCGACGACAGCAGCGAGGATCTGTTTGTTCACCAGTTTGGTGTCAGCCGAGAAAGAGAGACAGCCAAGAGAGGTGATAGGGGAGGTCCATGAAGCTGGGTGGTCTGAGGTCCACGAAGCTGAGGAATAATTAGGCAGTAGTTTTCTTTTGTTTATCGTATTCGTATTAATAAGTCTTGAGCTTTGTATTTTGTTTATCATAGTTTGTCGCTTTAAGTTAATTTGGTATGGGAGCAATTCTAGGGTCTGAGTTGAGTCAAGTGCAGCTTGTTCAGTGTGCGTAAACAGGGGTGTTGCAGGAGTGGGCAGCACAAGTGCCAGGAGTGGGGCGGACCTGGCATATGCCGCGGGGGAGGCCGACGGCTGAAGAATGATTCAGAGTGAATCAGTTTACGTGCATGCACCAGGGAAACGCTGTAGTGTTAGGCAGCGTTGATAAGGGTGCATGGTGAGAAGGACAAGTGCATTGTGGTCTAGCAGCGCTAATGGTTTGTGGAGTGAGAGGCAGGTACGCTGTGGTGTTAGGCAGCGGTGATAGGGTGTGGGGTGTGAGAGGCAGGTGTGGCGCTGTGGTGATTGGCCTAGCTTTTGTTGGCTCCGTAGAAGCATTGTTGATGCGACAAGGCACCTTGTGGACTGGTTTGGCACAGCGTGGTTCGAAAGTTGTTCGAGTGGTTCAAGACTTGGGCTTATGAGTCTAGGTGTGGAGTCCTATGGTTCATGTGATACATATGTAACAAGTTGGATGCTCCAACTTGAGGGGGAGTGTTAGAGAAATAGGGTGTTAGTTGAGAGGATCTCTCTTAGCCTTAGTTTTAGGTGTTTGAAATCTATGGCTAGGATTAGTTCTTGTCTAATATAAATAGCTCTATACTTCCTTGTACATTGACACACAGAACATATAGAAATATACACTTGAGTTTATTGTTTAACACTTTCTTCATCTTATTTTATACTCTTGACTAAGCTTGTGAAAAGCTATTACAAGAAAATGATTTATTTTATAAAAATATTATGTGCACCAAACTTCGCCAACAATGCTGTTTAACTATAAAGGTACTATATCAGCCTAATAATGAGATAGGATTGAATTGGAATTTTGATGCTCTTTATGATCTGTTGTGATTTAATCTTTCATACTAAAAATAGAATATATAGGAACATACTGGTTCTAACAATACCTGAGGTTCACATCCTCACGAACATGTACTGAATGAATTATTTTTCACTTCTAGACTAAATAAAGAAAAGCCATCCATCCGCCCGCTTATATTTGACTTCACATGCTTGCTCAATTGGTTGACACCCGATCAGACACGATGAAGTCAAATTAATTATGGTGTTTTCACTAAGTGGTTGCATCTGTAAATGTCTTTCACATGTGCTTCTTCTCAATTAGGCTTGGAGGTCCTAAATTAAATTGTTTAGTCCATTGCATTCCATTAAAAAAAATCCATTTTTAAATTTAATTTATCAATTTGAACAGTTAATCATATGCTCAATTGTTGCCTATTTCTAGTCTGCAGTTGTATATCTGTTACTTAGGTTTGTTGTTGATTGGGTGGATGGACAAATCATTTACCTAGAAGCTCATGAAACTGCAGTGGCTGTTGGCTTCTGTATGAGTTTGCTTCAGCTTTATTCGTCTCACAATATTGGGAAGGTATTTTCTTATTGCCTCCCCATCTCCTGCTTAATTGTGTCCAAGCCCTAAAGTTTCGTGATCTATTAATGAATCACCATTATACCTTTTTTTTTGGTTTTATATCTAACATGTTATTTTATTTTTAGTTTTAAAAAAACTCTGGTAAGTAAGATTATTTCATTGAAAACACCAAGTTAGTGCTGTAATATAAAGGAGCATTGCTATAAACACAAAACAATGCAGAAGGTTCATGATATGATGATAGCAGCCATAGGCTTTTCATTTCACCACAAGGGCAGAAGTTGCAGAATCCTATATTTTGCTTTATAAAATCAAGTTTTTATCCATCCAAAGCATCTGAAATTGTCATTCCTCTTCTTTTTTCTTTTTTCTTTTTTCTTTTCCCCCAAAAGCTTTTGCTTGTGTTAATGTTTTTAGCCATCAAAGTATTTCCTCATTTATATTTTCACAATTGACATATACCTGTAGATATCTCTGAGCATTTCGAAGACCTTGCGGTCTGAGGAAGATACTGAGAGGTACAAGGATATACGAGTTTTGCTCCAATTACTTGCAAGCCTCTGTTCAAAAGATCTGGTAGTTTCTCTTCCCTTTAGTACACGATGCCCCTCTTTTGCTGCTACCTTTGGGATAACCTTTAACCTCAGGAAAACTGAATATGCAGATTGACTTCTCATCAGAGCCCATCGAAGCTCATGGTACAAACATTTCCCAGGTATGTTTGTGTTGTAATTTTGGGATTTTTGAAATGAAATATTTGTGTAACATTTGTCTGTTGTAACATTCTGGAGTTTTGTCTACCAGGTGGTATATATGGGTCTTCATATAGTTACCCCACTAATAAGTTTGGATCTACTAAAATACCCCAAACTTTGTCATGATGTAAGTTCTCTTACTGTTCAATTGAGTATTCCAATGCAAGTTGCTCAGAAACTAATCTACTGATTTTTTTCCCCAGTACTTCTCACTGCTTTCACATATGCTGGAAGTTTATCCTGAAATGGTTGCACAATTAAATAATGAAGCTTTTATTCATATAATTAGAACCCTGGATTTCGGTTTACGCCATCAGGTAACTTGTCCATACAAAATGATAAAATATGTCCATATACTCCTCTAATTGCTCAGGATTTTACATGAACTACTCTTAATATTAAGCTGCCCCTGCGCATTCATTATGATGGATTGGTTTGATGATAAAAAAAACGGCCTCAGTTTGTTTTAAGTGTAATCCCAACTTCAGATAAATAAGTCTAATTTATCCTTTTTCCTGTTTTCTTTATGATACCTTAGGATGCAGAAGTTGTTGATTTGTGTCTACGAGCAGTAAAAGCTCTTGCTTCTTATCACTACAAGGAGAGAGGTGCTGGTAAAATTGGGTTAGGTTCCCGTGCTACAGCTTCCACAGACCCTGCTGGAAACCTTCAAGAAGGGGTTCTTAGCAAGTTCCTTCGTTCACTATTGCAATTTCTCCTCTTTGAGGATTACAGGTGAGATGAAAGAATGATATTTGGATATTATTATTGTCACTCATGTCAAACATGTCCCTAAAAGAGAGATTATATGATTTTCCCTTTTGAGGAAATTTAGGCTTGATAGTATTCAGATATTCAAGACATGCACATCCATGTATCCTTCTGTTCAATGAGCTTTGAACCATCATGTTTCACCATTTGGAAACTCAGACATAGGCTTGAGTTTCATGTTGGGCACAGACATGAAGACACTTTTAATCGTTCATTAAGAGTTAATTCAAACAATTTACAAAGTTGACCCTCAATTTGAGTAAACATAAAAACTTTCGACGGTGTTTAACATCTCCCTGGTACTGACAGACCCATGGCCATAAATTTGCTGTTTTGGGTTTGCTTTGATGACCTGCTGATGTTTCTGTTGTATCTTTTTGTGGTTACAGCAATGATATTGTCAGCTCAGCTGCAGATGCTCTTCTTCCATTAATCCTTTGTGAACAAACTCTTTACCAGGTCTTTACACTTATTGTTTACTCTCCAATGTTTTTTGCTTTAGTTCTCTTTCTTTTGTACCTTCATATTGGTCAAGAAAGTTGTTTAAATTCTGACACCAGAAACTTTTTTACCTTGTGATTACCGCATGACTGCAAGTTTTATCACTCCAAACGTCCTGCCTAAAATGCAGTCCATGTTTCCTGCAGAGATTAGGCGGAGAATTGATAGAGAGGCAGGCGAACCCAGCATTCAAATCAAGGTTGACAAATGCATTCCAGTCACTCACAAGCTCAAACAATCTCTCTTCCACGCTTGATCGTTCGAATTACCAAAAGTTCCGGAAAAATCTGCGTACCTTTCTTATTGAAGTTCGTGGATTTCTTAGGACAATATGATTGTTGGTCGTGCTCGAGCAAATAACATATTGGGTTAATGGCATGTGAGATAATATTTATGGGTGTTATTTTGGGCTTGGAGCAATGGTTTTACAGTGTAAAGTAGAGGAGCAGATAATTATGGTGATTGATTGCCCCCTTGAAGCAAAGGGGTAATCACTAGTTCAGCAATCACCTTCTCTATGGTATGAAATTTTGACCCCTTTTGCATTTACCTCTTTTTGGCAATTGATATTGTTGTCTCAACGATGGATAATAAGCACAAGTATCTAAATTGAACGTAGCACGGATTTCTTGAATGGGGGATATTTTGATCTGTTGTTCCTTCCACGTAATTAAGTTGAAACTGCAGTGAATCAACCAACACTCGTTTTATTGCAAATGAATTGATTTGGTCCACCTTTTGTTCTACAGTTGCCTAAAACTTGATTAAATTTTTTTATTTCATTTTTTAATTCCCTATAAATAATTATCTTCCTTCCAATATTAGATTTTTTTTTTTTTGAAAAAAATTGTTTTAAATAATATATTATACATCTTTTTTTTTTTTTTTTTTTTTTTGGAAAATAAAAAACGAAGCTATTATTAATTCAAAATAGGGAGTAAGAAATAATACAATCAGAGGGAACATATGGATTAACATGTTCACGATCTCTTAATTAAACGACAAACTAAACGTTCAAAATTAGCCATAATATTAAAGCAAAGACTGACAATGTATCATGTGTAAGATAGGTCTATGCATTTCTGTGTCAAAGTAGCAATAGCACTAGCAGAATCTGATTCCAACTTCTTCACCGTGGTGGTACTGTGAAAGAGCCTCTTTGCATGCCATTACTTTTGCCATGTGAGGATCAAGTGTTCCATGAAGTTTTCCATTCGTAGCTGCCACAAAGGTCCCATTGTTTGTGAGTAATACTACTCCGTATGAGGCCGCATCAACCTGACAAAGGAGAGGGAAAGAGGGGTCCGAATCTAATCTCTGCAAGTTTCACGGTTGAGGCACTAATTTACCACCATGTAATTGCCATGCATTGCACCAATAGTTATGCTGTGGAAACGTGTTCACAGTGCCCATGGTGAACACAATGGTAGATCCATAATTTCTATACTGTAGATTCATAATTTTTTTTTTTTTGAAAACGTAGATTCATAATTTTGTTTTTCATTTGTTGTTAACGGAATATATCCATAATTTCTATACTGTAGATTCATAATTTCTATACTGTAGATTCATAATTTCTGTACTGTAGATTCATAATTTCTATACTGTTCGTTCATAATTTCTATACTGTAGATTCATAATTTCTGTACCGTAGATTCATAATGTATGTAACAACAAATGAAAAACAAAATTATGAATCTACGTTTTCAAAAAAAAATAAAAAATTATGAATCTACCTACAATATAGAAATTATGGATCTACCCTTGTGTTCACCATGCGCATGGTGAACACGTTTCCACGGCATAATTTACCGTATTGCGCTGTGCTTTTACTTCTTTCTGTATTTCATGAGGGATTGTTGGTTTGTTGTTCCACAACATCTGGTTTCGGGCATGCCAAATAACATCAAGTAGGAAAGCAACGTCAACTATTTGGTCTTTAGTAGTAGTCTCCATTAGCGCCTACATCCATTCCCCGAGAAAGGTTGCGTCTTGTGTTGGAGGCAAGCGTTGCGACCATACCCCGGCAATGACATGACAGTTGAGTAGAGCATGAGCATCAATTTCAGCCTCTTCTCCACAAGCTAAGCACATTGGATCAATATCCACCCCTTTCGTTCCAAGTTTAGTTCTGGTAGTGCCATATAAAGTTCTTAATTCTTGGAGGAACATCCAGGTTCCATAACACATTCCAAGCTCTAAACATACCGGTAGGAGCTTCTACTTCCCCCATGAGCAACTTGTAGTCACTTTTGACTGTGTAGCAACCCCTTAAGTCATGCCACCAAAACCATATTCTGACAGATGGGAACACGTAGAATTCACCCAACCTCAGCCTCCGTGAAAGGCTCGTGGAGGCGTTCTTCATCCCATTCTGTTCCCTCGGGCTTCATAAGTAACGATACAGAGATATCAGTTGCCTACTTGCCTGCCTCGGTGGGACTGAAGTGATATAAGAAGGTTGGTTTTTGTCAGCCAGCCAAGGGGAACTCCATACTTTTGTTCTACGTCCGTTGCCTATCCTTACTCCCAACCCACCAAGTAGGACCTCTCTTCTGACTAGAATGCTTTGCCAGCAGAAGTTGGGAAAGCTACCGACATTAGCTTCTAAGAATGAGGATTGGGGGGAGTAACGAGCTTTATAGATTCTCCTGACTGGACTGTTAGGCATTTTTAGCAGTCGTCATCCCTTTTTGGCTAGTAAGACTTTATTAAAACCATGTAGATCTTTGAATCCCAAGCCACCAACCTTTTTGTTTGTGTGTGTGTTTGTGTGTGTGTGTGTGCGTGTGCGTGCATGCGTGTGTGTGTGCGTGTATGTGTGTGTGTGTGTGGGTGGGTATAGGCTTTTCGATGCGTGCCAATGGATCCCAGACCCACTCATGCCTCTCGATCTCTACTAGAATATGTTCATTAGCGTCTCAAGCTCTTGACATGTAGATATTTGAAGAAGGAATACGTGCATGGTGTAGGTGGGTCGAGCTTGAGCAACGGTTTTGAGTAGAACCTATTGGCCGTCCTTGATAGGAACTTTTTATTCCACCCTTCAATTCTATTCCGAAGTTTGTCTTCCACAAATGTGAACACTTGGCGCTTATTTCAGCCAATAACAGAGGGGACACCAACATATTTTTCAAAGTCCTCAGTAAGATTAACAACAAAGAAGTTGGCTAAAGTATTTCTTACCTTTGTTGGGGTGTTGGCACTGAAGGAGATCCCGGACTTATGTAAGTTGACAGCCTGGGCCGAACACTCTTCATAAGTTGTAAGGCAGCGTTTAATCTCCTCGGCCTCACTCCAATTTGCTTTAAAAAATAATAGGCTATCATCGACAAAGAAAATGTGCGAAATGGATGGAGATCCTCTAGCCACACGCAAACCACTAATTATTCCTCTGGACTCAGCATTGTGTAAAAGGATGGAAAGCCCCTCGACACACAAAATAAATAGGTATAGCGAATCGCCTTGTCTCAGGCCACGTGTTGAGGTAATTGGGTTTGTCAGACAACCGTTAACGGAGACCCTATACATTACCGTACTTACACAAACCATCATGAGGTCAGTTCATTGTTGCGAAAAGCCCAAAATAGACATCATCCGTTGAAGGAAATCCCACTCCATACGGTCCTGACCATGTCAAGTTTTAGTGCAGCACAACCTGTTCGGCCATGGGTTTTACATTTCAGAACGTGTCCTGATTCGGTTGCCACGAGTATATTATCAATGATCAACCTCCTTAGAATAAAAGCACTTTGATTTTCCGAGACCACTTCCCCAATCAGACCCTTCATTCTATTTGCAATCATCTTTGCTATTATCTTATAGATCACGTTACACAATGCAATATGCTGGGGGTCCGCTACCGATTCGGGGTGAGTTTTCTTAGGAATTAGGGTAATGATAACATCATTCAACCCTAGTGGAAGTGTGCGGCTGCTAAGGAAATTGAGGATGAAATTAGTAACATCAGCTCCGACTAGATCCTAGTATTGTTAAAAAAAAAATCTGGATTCATTCCGTCATGACCTAGTGATTTATCGGGGTGCATTGAGAAAAGGGTTGCTCTAACTTCCTCGCTTGTGAACTGAGTTAGAAGTCTTTGATTTTGCTATTCAGAAACTCGCTGTATATTCTCAGTTAAGTGGAAGGCACTGCTACGTCCACTAGAGCTCAAAATATTTTGGAAATAATTGAACACAAGCGGGCGCAAATCTTCTCCATGTATCCAGGTACTGTTATCCCCCTTCAGTTTGCAGATTTGGTTCTTCTTGTGCCTAACCGAGGCAAAATTATGGAAGTACTTGGTGTTTAATTCGCCACCTTAGAGCCAATATCTTTTTGCCTGCTGCTTCTAGAAGGATTTTTTTGGTCCATAAGTTTGAGTAGGTTTGCATGAATCTGACAGAATTGTTCCATGCTTTCCCCGTCTCGTTTTGTCCGCATCCGTTCCAGAGCAGATTTTAGGGCTTTAATCTTTCGACCAAAGTTGCTGAACAGTTCCCTGCCCCATCGTGATAACCTTGACTGCATTGGTTAATTTTTTCATGTAAATTTCTCCCCAGTACTGTAGTCCACGCCTCTGTCACTACCTCCGTACACCCCTCTTCTTTGAGCCAGGCGTTCTTAAAACAAAAGCGTCGGCTGAGCAGAAACCCACCGCTCACCCCTTCTGTTAAAGAGACAAAAATGGTGGAATGATCTGAATGGATTATAGCAATATTCAGAACTTCTGCATGGGGGTGCATGAGTCGCCATTGGTCTGAGGCCACGACCCGATCTAATCTCTCTTTGCCGAAAGCACTCGTGTCACGACCCCTTTCCCATGTAAATGGGTAACCTTGCATGCCCAAGTCTGAGAGGTTACAATGGAATAGAGCTGTGTTGAAACCACGAATCAAATAATCAGGGTGAGGGTGCGACCATCTCTTCTCTGAGTGTGCTGATAGGTCGTTGAAGTCACCAACAACCAGCCATGGTAAATCCGATTTCGAGGCAAGTGAGCGCAGTAAATCCCAAACTTCGTGTCTACGACTTCTTTTCGGATGGCCATAAAAGCAGGTTAAGCGCCACTGTAACACCCCACTTTTCTTAAACCTTATTAACAGACTTAATCTTGAAAGATAAACTAAGGCAGCAGAATAAACTTACTAAGAGGTGTCACCGCCGGCAAAAGGTAAACAAACTAAATCATTCAAGTCTTACTAATCATCAAACAAACTAGGGGATAAGACCTCGGTGTCCAGCACCATAAAAACAAAAGGGTAGGTCAACTACAAATCTCAAAACATCAAACATCAAGAGTTTAGACTACAACTAGCTACCTACGCTAATCTAGTCTAACTCGTACTCTCTCACGAACTGGGTCCAACTGAAAAGGGTTAACAAACAACAAGTAGAAAACAAACACGTTAGCACGAAGCTAAGTATAACGCCACTCAACCATGTAAAGTACTACAGTATATACTTTTGGAAAACATTTGTTTCACATACTTAGATCAAGTAAACTTAATCACTTTAACAACGGGTTCTAGATGCTTGCAACCTAGTTATCAAATAGGCGTACTTTCTCTATCCTTATTTCAACAACAAACTCAGTTTATCAAATATCTCAATAGACAACTCATGCTAACAAATAACTCAATAAGTAAGCT